CCTTATATTTATTTAATAAGTTATTATAAGTTATTTACCTTATCGTAACAGTTATTATCAGTACCGATCATTACACAAAAACTTTACGCTTACAAAACAGGTTTTAAAAAATGACTTTCCGAATAAACTGGAAAGCCTAGCATCACATAACGTCTAACCGACTTCACCCACAGTCAACAACGAACTGAGAGAGGCCGAAATATCAATCCGCCCGGAGTTGATAGGGTTGAAAGACCTGATGAGAACTGGTTCCAACCCTCGAACCCAGCATTACATTCACGGCCAGGGACGCAACTTTTATAACGATCGTTATTGCCAGTATAATTTCATTAAAAAGCCTGTTTGGTAATTTTTGTCAATATTTTAACATTAGAAATTGATTCAAACCAAATATTTAAAATTTATTGCCTTAATATTACTGAAAATATAAGCTTATGTATGCAACTTCTAAACTAGGGGACAGGGTTTTTGCAATAAATATACCCATTTTGGAACTTTTCAAACACACTTTTCTTTACTACATAGTATTAAAATCGGGAAACATAAACATTTTTATTCAAAGGAAGGTATAATAAATTATTTTAAAACTATTTGGAGCAGGAATAGATGGCGGAAGAGGTATAAATAGCTGGGGACAGCAATTGTCCTGTTTTCAAGCTTTTACTGTATAGTGAATGGTAGTAGACCTCAGGACACATGTGACCCGCATGTGACATGTAACATGTGACCTCAGTCTTTGGGCAAAACCCCTCAGATTTTGTGATAGTAACTAATTAAAAGCTATGATTAAAAAATTATATAACAAATATATAGTGTAACTATTACTTCTCTTAAATATAACAAGATGTATGTTTATCTTTGTGTTTGGAAAAACATTCATATTTTAAGACATTATCCAAACACATCTTAAGCAGTTCAAGATTGCAAACAAAATCTGTTACAAATAATTAAAAAAATATAAACAATGTAATTTTTCTACAGTTTGCACAAAACTCTATTAGTAAAATAATTCTCATAAACTTGACTATAAAAATTGGAGCCAAAGCTCAGGTCGATACAGCAATAATTATAAAATGTTACTTATTTATCAAATCAATGACACAATCTTAGAATAAACAAACCCCATGGATGTATAAAATATTAAATCAGCTGTGTGGTGTAGTGAAATGAAGTGAATTTGGCAGTTTTACTTGTCTACATTTAAAAATCAAAGCAAACGTAAACATTGTGAATTTTCTTAATGTTGCCATGGAGACTAATCAATGTTTAAAACTCTCACACCAGATTAAAAGCCCACAATGCAGAGACCTAGGTCGATATCAAAGCATGAATAGTTCTAAACAGATCCTTGCTACTGTTGCTATATTTATGTAAATTTTAAGCCCAGTTGGCTTAGTATTTTTTGCATTTACTTTGTACAAACAGACAGACAGACAGACACCACCTCTTCTTTATAACAATACTAGCTGCTATACCAGTGCTTTGCAACAGGGTGGGGACGTGGGACGGAAAAATGTTGTTCTTCAAATCCATCCTATGAGATAGTTAAACATACGTCATCGATTTTAGAAAATATATTTTTTTTATTCATTTAAGTGGTGATAATTTATCAGCCTATTCAGTAAAATATGAGTGGCGCTAAGAACGTATGAAACTGTGTAATTCAATCTTTAAAAATATACTTACCTAAAAGTAAAAGTGTATTCACTGGAAACCCCTATTTATATTTAAATAATGCTGCATCAGGGTAATGTCTTGAAGCAACAAATCAATCAGTTGACATTGATGTAACATGTTGGAGGAGTGGGATTCCCCCCCTAAGCAGGTGCCCACCTGGGGTAGTTCATCCTTATGTTTTCCTTCAGATTTGATCATCTAAAAATAAAACTATAACGTTAGCAGTTTGACAACTGAACTGTGACACACTCACTACGCTTTGTTAATGTCCTGGAGGGTGGACCCTTTTGGTGTTGGGCCTCTCATCATCTCCAACTCAGTCCTGAAACAGCTGCACACTTACTTGTTCCAGTGATGCACACTTTATTTCAACATTTACCTGATAGACAACATTTTCCAATATTTAAATTAAAATATACAAGCGAATAACGTCTACTATCATACTCAATTAGTATATCCATTCTTTGTTTGAAGTTCATTGTTGGTGATGGTGAGTTAATGTTGTTCAAAGGTTTATTGCGGACATTTTCCGTCACGAATGTAAAAAACAATAGACAACGTTTCGGGATCTGAAATCTGATCCCGTCTTCAGGTGAAAAAAACTTAACTAACACATTACAACTAACAATACACAAACGCCCAACCTAAGTTGGAATACACTACAGATGGTAGTAGTCAAAAGATATGCACTGTATAGCAGTCAAGTCATGATACAACATGCAATTGATAACAAATCACAAGATACTATAATCTATAAAAGGTTTAACGTTAAAAACTCACACAATGGAACACTAAGAGCACCGTACGCAACGACTCCACCAATGAGACTGAACCAACATGGCTGACCAATCGGAAACACGGAGACAACAGAAATGGCTTCCAGTCCTTGGAAAAGTAAAACCAACAAATTGGCGGAGCGATGTACGATGCCGCAAGATGGGTGTTAATTATGTTTATTCCTATCACGAGTCTTACTACGAGTTAACATAACATGCGAATTTTGAGGAGAACTCGTTATTTCCCTATTTATTGAAAAATTAAGTTCCCTATCCTTTAGTTCCTTGTTCAAAATGGGTAGCCAAAGTGGCCTTATTTCAACCGATGACTGACTGATTGGTTGATCTGCTAATTTAATGTATGAGGCTTCAATGAGTTTACGTTTGAAAAAATGAGGTTCCTTATGGACAATCTTTCCATCCTGAACGGGTCCTGAAGACGGGATCAGATTCCAGATCCCGAAACGTTGTGTATTGTTTTTTACATTCGTGATGGAAAATGTCCGCAATAAACCTTTGAACAACATAGTATATCCAGTAAGGAATATTTACTCAATTTACTATTGCTTATATTTTGCCCCCACTGGTGGGTTGCGGGAGCAATTTTGGTGGGTCAAGAGAAGAGAAAATCTTTCATGGAATCCCATGTTGACCATGTGGTCAGCAAAATCACATCTGGAATTTATGCAATTTGTAGAATGTCTAAATTTTGCTCAACAGATATTTTGAAAAAGCTTTATTTTGCTTTCATTGAATCCGCAATATCATTTGGCTTTAGTGTTACATCAAAGAACATCAAAGAAAAATTTAGATAGAATTTTAATTTTACAGAAAGTAGCAATAAGAATAATGTTAAATTTAAACTGGTATGTTTCCGTACGTAATAATTTCTTAGCCATGGGTATAATGACTGTGTTCGGCATTTATGTTTTCCATACCGTTCTTTTAACTAAAAATCTTTTGTGTAAAAGAACGTTACCTAAGCTAGGTGATAAATATGGCACCTGGTATAGAAACAAAATTGCTGTTGGTGCCCATAGATTGGAATTTTATAACAAAAAACCGTCATGTGCTGGAAGAATTTTTTTGGAAGGGCTTCCAGAGTGGTTAAGGAAAATTTATGATGGTGAAAAATTTAAACCCCAGCTTAAAATATACTTGTATAATTTTGATGAACTTTACAGCTGATATTATGTTGTAAGTTTAAGTAGTTTTAAGAATTTTGACGCCATTCAATGTACATACTTGTATGATTGATGAATAATGTTATTTTCTATTCAATTCAATTCAATACTGTCTTTCAATGAATAACTGATGAAGCCTATTGTAATAATGTATTACTTAATGGTGAATAAACTTCTTGTTTCTTGGGCTGCTTCATATTTCATCCTTGAAATATGATCACCTTTAGAGTTTTTATAATTCAGGTGAATAACATAAATAAAATTATAAAACAGTTGGATGTAGTTTCTGAATAAATTAATTTTTGTTGATGGCAAATTCATTAATTTTTTCCAGGGATTATTGCAGAAGTTTTCCATCACAATTAAAAAAACAAGTTTTTACAACCTTTCACGATCTGGAATCTGATCCTGCCTTCCATGAGGAAGTATCTAAAGCTTAAAGTTTAGCATACACACCCAAGTAGAGCTGGAAAGTCGCAAAATAAAAACCACCCAAAACTGTATATTAGTCAAAATAAGATACTGCTGAAAGACACATAGAGAGAAGGTAAATCACAATAGACACGTCTGCACAGGATGGTGGCTCAAATGAGATCTGGCAAGTCAGTTCAAACTGACTGAGGACTGGATCAGATTCCAGATCTTGAAAGGTCGTAAAAACCTTTTTTTCTTAAACCTGATTAAAATGTTTCAAAATAATCCCTCAAATAATATTAACGTCACCATTATCTCTTTTTCCACACATACTTTATCAAACCCATCTCCATTCACTGCCTCCTCTGAACTATGCGTTTTCTCTCAACTTCTTTTATTGTACAACATGGAAGCGAGTGAATGTAGTAGGTTGGGTAATAATAGCTATTAATGGTTAATGAGCTAAAATATAGGTGTGTGGATATTGAATTCAGCATCATTATTATTTTTTAATGTTTAACTTAATTACGGTACGATTGAACGATTTGTGTGTGTATATTTTGGGCCATTAAAACAGTTTAATTATGTTTTTTTGTTGTCGTTTATGCAAAGGTATTTTATTAAGTAATTTCAGAATAATCCAATATATCAGAAGTAAATGAAAATATCACATAGGTATCTGATTGAATTGTGTTGTTGTCTTTGGTTATCATGGGAGAGTTGGAATATTATTTAAGTTCAAAGTAGCATATAGTTAAATGAATGTTAAGTATTATAGTGTTTATCTCAATTAAACAAAAAAATATGGTATTTTTATCCAATAATTTTGATTGTAGGTTTCAAAGGTCCCTGGCCTGGATCAATGAATTTTCTCTAAGAATCTAAAATATTTATTAAAATTACATGTCAGGCATCAATATTGAAAGCATTAATTTTGACTGCACTGCAGGTTTGCCAGAGCCCCCAGTAGACATCCAAGTAGAGCCTGGACCTCAAGATGGCACTCTGTTGGTGACTTGGCAGCCGGCTACCCCCACCACCTCTGCCTGTAATACTCTGGTCACAGGATATGCGGTGTACGCTGATGGCAAGAAGGTCACCGATGTGGACAGCCCCACAGGTAGATGGCCGCATAAGTTGAATGGAAACCTAAAAAATTTTATTACAGTAGATTATCTATTATCCAACCTAAACTGATCGTGCCTAAGTGAAAATATTAGGTAGCAAAAGAAAATAATAAAAACCATTCCAACTGGCTGTCTACAGCTGGCAGAAAAATCACAGGAAAAGTTTCAGATATTCCATATCCAGGAAAAAGATTCCTATATTCAGAAAAAGGCCAAATATCCCTATATAAATTGAAAACCCACAAAATTTTATAACGTGACTCTGAATTTTATAACTTATTCTGAATATTTTCGTTTTTACTTAGGGAACTGTCTCAAGCTCAAGCTACCACTAGACCAGCTGTGACAGGTGGCCGAATTTTTAACAGTACATTAATAAAATACTTATAAGATATACAGAAAGAACATTAATTATATAAAAAAAAACGCCTGTCAGTGTCCGGAGCTCCATTTTAAAAGTGTCCTACCACTTGCTCACTGCGCGCACTGCACTAGTAAAACTCACGTTAGAGTTAAGAGGCGTCCAATTCACTGCCTCAAAAAAAACCCTCTCACACTTGTGAGTCCAAGAAATATATAGGCTAGCCTACCTTCATTATATTACCGGTTATACCGGCTGATGTCTCTGGGGCTGCAGTCCCCTCCTTCACTAATATATTTGAGTCCAGTTGCCACTCGTTGCCAGTCTCAGTCGTATTACATAAAGTTGCTGAAGCTGAGCTCCTCACACGGTGTTGGCATCACCGCAGACGCCAAGTCCATGACAGGTGATCCCCCTCCAATTCTGGATACCGGCAGCTTCCAACCTTACACAAGAGAGACAATCATTAGCAACATTACAAAATGGCACTTCTCTGTACATTAGGCCTACCAGTTGGACCTTGAAGTATTAAACTTCAAGTGCCAAGCGGTAATTATTTTGGCTACTTCTCAAGGACAACCTTTAAACATTTCATCACAAATACAAACGTCATGGCCATGACCAGGGAGGCTCTTAGCTCCACCCTCCTCTAAAGCTCAAGCGCAGCTGGTAGCGGCTAACAGGTTATGTCAGGCAAGCGTACGCAGGCGCGAGCAACAGTCAAAATGAATTTGACACCAGGGAAGGCTCTCCTTCCCTCTCCCCTTCCCGGCTCAAGTGCAGCTGGAAGTTGCCAACGGGTTTCGTTGGGCAGACATACGCAGGCACGAGCAAAAATATGCACTCTATCTCTCGCATGTCATTGGGAGGGACTTATGACAGAAAAATTTTTTAAAACAAAAAAAAAATGAAATAACCAGGACTATTTGAGTCCTACACGAGCTTATTGCTGCCGAATGAGCGGCAGGCTAAAACTCATCAGTTCACATAATGCAGAGTCCTCGCTGGAGCTCAGGCCTATCATGTGACTTCAACTTCACGAACAGTCCCCCACCGAAAAGAAAAAAACAACACGGCTAGCGCTTACAACAGAAGGCTGCTGATTAATCAAACAGGCATTCTGTAACCATCAGCAACCAAATTGTTAATGGTTCTGATGAAAGATCTCAAACTAAAAAAACAAACAGCGCTTCAACAACATCCGGACCTAGTCCAAAGGAGATTCACCATGTTGCCGTGTGTATTATAATACTGTACGGACAAGCAAGGCAATCTCAATCACGGCCAGCCACCTTAGGGCTCAGACCAAACTACAACCATGCACAATCAAAGGAAGCCCATAACTAAATGGGGGGTGCCTACAATGTACAAATTAACTATATCTTCTTAATTCTTATCATTTTTTTTTACTTTTTTCCAGAGGAGTCTAAATTTCCATTTAATTAATTTGATTAGGCCTACAAAAAAAATAAAAGAATTTAAAAACAAGGCTAAAGCGAGTATACTTTACCCCAACTTAGCTCAGGCCCAGTGATTTGTAATCACTTACTATTATTATACTTATACAACTACTCAAACCAATTCCACCCGCAGGGACAATGTTGAGCTACTGCTCCAACAGCTGGTCCACCGCAAGGAGACTCTATGCCTCGATCGACGGAGACAGCAAGAGACTGGCTCACACTCCTATACAAAACTGTAGGCTGTATAACAAACAAAAAAAAAGGGTTATCCTATGCACATCAACATATATTGGTAGGCTACTAATTCACCTCCAGCATTGAATTTTTATAAAAAACATTTCCCTCCTACTATCATCAGCATTGCTTGATTTATTTTCCCTTAACAAGAAACAAAGACAACGGTATTTGTATTCTCCTAACTATACACCAGAGAATCCTCTGGCGAGGGGTTAGCCACGGCTTAATCACAAATGTTACCGGATTTATTTAGGTTAAGGTCCTGTCCAAAGCAGGAGCAAAAGAAGATACACTCCAAATCTTCCCCCATACCGAACACACATTGTGAGAAAATTGTGACATTTCCCTCGGCTCATTAGAAACTCAACATATCGGAAACTAACATGGATAAATGCAATTCATCTCAAAAACAATTTTTTAAAGTTAAAATTTTTTTATAAATAGGCCTAGAGTATGATTTATTCCTATGTTCAGCTGTTCATAACTTCATAAAGTTATATTTTTTACTTAAGAGTTGAAACTATCAAATTATTGATTAGCATCACATAAGACAACACTCAGGGTTTTAAACTGACTTCAGTCATTCACTAACGCTAGCTGATGATAGCAGTTAAACAACAGTTCTTCAATTTTTTGTTTTATATATGAATCCGATAATAAATTAATCCCAGTGTAAATAAATAAAGATTATTATATTTATTTCAGTGTACAGAAAAGAATGGCAACTAAACACAAACATCTCTAATTACTCAGTATACTCACTCAGACTTGGACCAAGCGTTTGACGAATGATCAAAACCTCCTACAATGCTTAAAAAAAAACTCAAAAATTAATCCCTTTCCCAGATACAAAAAAAAAACATTTAAACTCCTCTTTTTAGTCTTTCCACATTGCACACCTACCTTGTGTACACACCTACGTCTCATCAGAGGGTCTGCGAACCCCTAACAGGTCCAACAGAGCACCTGCTAAATCACGTAATATCTTAACAAATCGCGGCTAGGTTCGTTGGCCCACGCCGCGGCCTTTACACGCTAACCCAAGTTTCCAGCAAAGCCCCAAAGGGTTGCTTCCATTTTTTTAATGTTTTTCGTTTTTACTTTTTTTACTTGTTACTCATTGGTTGTCCACTTTTCATAATATACACAAGTTTTAGAGACCAAATCATGTTACGAATCATACAAACTCAAATTATTTCTCGCTGCGTTCCACAAAACTTGTTAAGTCTGGTAAAATTTGGAATTTATTCAGCTACCGTACCTAAAATAAACCATCTTCTAGATATCCTGACTTTAAAAGTCATCTATTTATAAACGTGCACAGTCATCACAGAAAAAACAAATTTTTTCCTACTTAGGCCTACTTTATTTTCCATACCCGAGTGAAATGGCAAGGCATCAATACAGAGGCAAGCAACATCCCGGATGGCTCTGAGGTGAGAAGGCAAGTCTTTAGAGAACAAAATTATGTCAAAAGAGACAAGGCATTTCCCAACCTTCAAGCCCGTCAGTAGGCCAGTAATGCTGACATCATTTAAACTAATAATTTTGTAATCAATTCCCATGGACTACACTGCTAATCATTCAAAGACAACAGTAATTATATTCTGTTTCATAATTCTATTTATTGACCACTTCAAAGGACATTTAACAGTCACTGGCGTTTACTGAACGACCCAATGAGCTGTCCCGAATAACAAATGTTACCTTAAACAGATTAAAATGAACAAGCTAACCACATAGAATCTGAACATGTCCTGCCACAGTAGGCTAGGCCTACATGACGGCCATCATTGGAACGCAGCTAAAATAAATTTAGTTTTACGAGTAACCATACACTTTGAAAGTTCTTTAAGTAAGCTTCAAAATTACATATTCCACGATAATTAGTTAAAATGTTCCTCACTTTCCTTTACTCTTACCTTAGGCTATATTTCAAAATTCATTTGTTATAATTTTTGCTGCAGGCATTAATCAAAATAATTTAAGTTCACGGTCGGTCACTATAATAGAAAACAAACATTACCTCAAGTCCAGATTACCTAATGCCTTATCTTCTCTGAACACTTAATTGAAATATTCATAGCCTAAATTTATATGAGTGACCAAAACTTAACTTAGTTTATCTCCAATTAATTTTTCCAATTAAATCTAATTATTCCGCCTTCCCCCAATAAGTTAAACTTCACCAAGGCACGGCCTAAACTTTATAGGAATAAGCTACTAGGTTAAACAACCATCAAAACAAGTTAGCCTAGTCAACTGTTAACTTAAGCTTAGACAGTAATCAGATGAATAACGTTAGGCCTATCCTACTTAAGCCAACAACTTCAATTATTTCACCCTTAGATTACACAAAAATTTAACTATTAAAACTTTAGCCTTGGTAAGCTTTCCAATTAAATATTTTTGAAAACCAAATAAAAATATTTAAGCCAGTTACTTAATTTATAAACTCACCTGACCTTTTACGCACATCTAACCTTAGTTTCCACAACAGAGCAGACGCCAGAAGCTGAAGTCGAAGTCCCTGAAGTTCAAAGTTTTAAACTGCAGACGACGACGACTCATTGCAGTCGCAGTGGGAGCGAAACGAATTAAAACACGTAAAACGACGGGAGCAGAACTGAAACGGACTGAGCGAGTCGCGACAGGGAATTACAACGAAATTATGATTTCTGACTGTGTGATAATTAAATAGCCAATTAATTTAGGACTCTTGAACCTAACCCCGCACTGACACCAAATGTGACAGGTGGCCGAATGAAACAACGAAAATGCGCTACGAATAAATAATTTATTAAACTCAACTTATGACAAAACAATAATAATGTATTTTGCTGTATGGAATCTATTTATGTTTAGTTTACAAATATAACTAGAATAAGTTACTGGGGAACATAGCCTCCCGAGGAGGCTATGGGGAAAGGCGACGCAACTTACATGACCGATTGAATTGAATTTAGAATTTAGACTGACTCAACTGAGTGCGCTCTGCCCATAGCCCAGAGTTGGGCGTGGAGGGGAACCAGCCAATCACGTTGCGGCTATGCCGCGTGACGTCAGTGCAAGCCCTGGGCGGTGTTGCTGCCTAACGATTCATCAGGGCATTAGGCAAACTATAGCTGCGCATTAACTGATTTCATCGAGCGACTTGCTGAGCTGTATCAGCAAATTCCAGCCATGCGCGTTACACTTTCCGAGAACTTTGGCCTGTCCGCTGAGCCATGCTGACGGAATATTCCATGGTGAGGCAACTGGTTGACGCAAAAAGCTGGGAGGTTAACAGTCCAATATTTCATACCCTCTTTTTTTATATTTGAAATAAAGCAAAGCTTCTGTGACGGTAAAGACAGGGTTTCCTGAGGGTGTAACAAAAACCTCCCCAACTGATGTGTAATGGGTCTGGGAATTTTTGGGGCCGTCACACAGCTCCCTTCCTGTGTGCGTCTTGTAGTAAAGTGTAAATACTTCAACATACTTTAACGTGATATGAGTAAATGTCATCAAATTTGCTGCTGTAGCTTAAATGTTGTATAATTTGCTTTTATTTTATTCATTGAGTACCTCTGAGTATTGATTGTTTAAGTCCTCAAAAATAAAAATAAAAACTAAAAATAGGATCCAACCTAATCAATGAGAGTATAAAATACATTGAACGTTGTTATATGTGTTATTGTTTAATTTTAGGAGATCATGCCCTAATTGATATCAACAAGTTATTGAGTCTGAATCCAAAACAAGTAACGGTTCGCACAAAGTCAAGAGATAATCAATCATCAGATAGTCTGCCAACTCCGATTCCTCCGAACATGCTCAAGGGAAAGCAGCATTCCAACAAGGTAAGCTTTACTCCTGTTCCCGTGGATTTGACCTTAGAGTATTTACGATTCTTATTCCTACAACTAATTCCCATATTTTTAGTTCTACTTCATACCTCAAGAGTGGATCATTTACATGGGTTTTTAAAGAGTAATTCACAAAATCAACAAAGTTACAGATGGAAGCCTGAGGATGGTGACATTGGATTATTTACCTTATACATTTTGGTCGGTGTTTTATTATTTCGTCCTGACTTTGTATTAACATCATTTCAGGTGGAGGAGCAAATAGAGTTATCATTGGGGAAAATTTCTTCTTGGTTTGCTGATAACCCTTTAGTATCGAATGTGAAAAAGACAAACATTATGAAATTTCAGCAGAGACCTCCTAATAGCAAAGACAATTTGACAGTGAGTGTTGAAATATGATTTGTGCAACAAAATTTTTAGGTTTGCATGTGATTGGCAATATTACGTTGGCATATTGGAAGTTACGTAGTTGACGAGCAGCTATGCTTGGCCGGCAGCATTGATAGTGAGTTAGTCACCGATACGTTCTGTAAACTTTCGATGTCAATGCATGTGAACATAACAGGAACTTGCTCCAACTACCATACACTGTGAGAGACTATATTTCTTATTTTCTTACCAGATCTAAAAAATTAAAAAGTCTTTGTCATCAATATACTTGATATTTCAAATTATTTAAATGTGTAGAAACTTCATTAGTCATGCTGCTACACTAATAAGAGTATTTTTTTACGATTTCTCGTCTATTTGTGTGTAACCTGTGGTACACTTCTAATCGTTTCATTTTTATGTTTTACTTACATTTGCATGAGTTTCCTTGTCACTTTTATAACCTTACATTGAACCTTTTTTCATTTACTTCACTGTATATTTTTATTGTATTGATTTTCCTAATACGCAATAGAGGAGTTGGTTTGAGATATACTTGGCTTTAATAATCTCAAATATTTATTAAATGTCAAGAAGTATTTTAAAAGGACCTTAATACCTTTATTTTGTTTCTTGATAGTCATTAGCTTATTGTTTATCATTTATCATCTTTTCTTGGATTTATTTTACTTTCCATCTCTTGCACATAACAAGAATATTTGTTCTTGAAGTACACTTGCTCTGGAAATGTTATTTTAACGTTATAAAACTAAGGAAATATTATTCAGTAAAATTCTCCGATAGTGATAATAAATCACTTAGGTAGGTTTATAATAAAATGTGGTATGTAGTACTAGTAAAAAATTTCATCTTAAGAGTTAGTAACTTGAAAAAGAAAAATATACTTCTAGGTTCTCTGAAATATGGATTCTATATTTTGTATTATGACTCTAATTACAACACTTTGATCACATTTGTGTTACATTGATTTTATTGAGATAACATTTTTTGACTATTGTGGCTTGAAACACTTAATACCAAAGTAGGTATTAAGTGTTCGTTGTCATTTATGAATCTGATTCCTAGTAACCTGACTATTATTTTAAACACAAGGAATGGGATTGTTATTCTCATAGTCTTAATATATATTACAGTTATTTAAAAGTTTTATGGGTCGTAAAGTTTGACACACATTGGGCTTTGACAAAGTGCAGATCCAGCAAGCATATTACTGTTTGGACTAGTTTCATACAAAAATTCAGATAATTTTTCTTCATTTACAAAGCAGATATTTTATTCTTAACTTGAAGTCAATCTGAGGTAAATTAGTGGTTTGTAGATAGCCTTTATACCTTGGAATATGGAAATATCCAAAAATCTTTGACAATTTTGAAAGAGTATAGTTCCAAGTAAGATCGATAGAATGTCATTGACAACAAAACAATGACTTGAAGATCATTTAGTAGCATGTTTAGGCTGTAATATTTCTATTTTTCTGCTGAATTGTTTACAATGTTATTCAAAACCACCAAATAGACATAAAATACACCTTTATAAAACATTAATATATATATTATATTACCCTTAATGCAGAGTTTCAGAGGCTTTTTATTGAGTGGGGATGCCATGTGCAAATTATATTTTTTAGTAACTTAGGAAACTCATATTTCCAATACTGTTGTTCATCACTTATTAGGCCTATATTGGCGGAACCGAGCTGGTTAAGCACTCGGTGCAACATCCACAAACCTCTAGTTGCTTGATGGGGGGTTTGTTATCTTCTACAATAGGGTTAAAGACCACAATACATTTAATCAAAGGATTGAACAGAGATATTTCTGTGCAACTGTACATCTTTAGAAAGTAAACATGTGTTATATAGTGTGAGCAAATATTTTAAATACATTTCTGAGTAATGTTTCTACTTAACACTGGATATTAGATCTCCTCCATCTGTAGGGTCCTTGATTCTGAATATGTTAAAACTATCTTTGGCCAAACCCTCTGTAGATAATGTGATATTATTCTTAAGTGAGAACATTTGCAGTAAAAATTGATATTGTGAATATAGAAACCATTATTATAGATATGTAGATAAATTTGTTTAGATAGTGACACAGTGTTCTTAAAGTATATAGTATATAGTGGATTACTGTTGTAAGTTAATCATTAGTGATGTATTTGTAATTTAGCTTTGTTATGTGTTCTCAATACCAACGGAGGTACCACACCGAGTGCAGTTTTGCTTGTTGTGACACACTTCGCTTGCATTGCAAATTTGGCTTGGCTTTCGGGATTCACCTCATCTTCTCAGAGATTATTCAACTTGTTTATCTGTTTCTTAAGTATCTTTGAGCAACAATGAGTTTAAATGTATCTATCACCTTTTGTTATGCTGTCTTTTAATTTTGGTTACATTTTAGTGAATTCCCCTATAAGGATGAATCCACCCAACAAAAAAATAAACGGTATCCGTAAACTAACACATACTTTCTCCCATAACCTTGTAAACAACCTTTATCATGGGTAATATAAGAGGTGGGTGTAACTATGATATTCTATAGGGATAAATCACAAAATTTGCAATAGCTTTTGAGCCGTAATTGTTACAGCAATATGGGGGGTGCACCATTTTTGTTTAGAATTATAAGGACCATAACACATTAATTTTAATCATAACCGGCTTTTTTTCCTAAAATCCGATATTTTGTTATTTTATGGGGTTTTTATGGGAAATAACATAAATTACAATAACTTTTGAACCATACTTTTTACGGAAATGGAATCTGTACCATTTTGTTCAAAATTTTAAGGACCATTACATACTAATTTTAATCAAAACCAGCCTTTTTTTCTAAAATCCAATTTTTGTTGTTGTAAAATAACATTAGTTACAATAACTTTGGAACCGTATTATTTACGGAAATGGGATTTGTACCATTTTGTTCAGAATTAAAAGGACTATAACATGCTAATTTTTTTTTCAAAATCGTTCAGGCCGTTTTCGAGCAAATCAGATTTTTCCGATATTTTATGGGTTTTTATAGGAAAATCGCCATTAAAAATAAAATTTGGAAAAAAATTTAAAAAACGCCTGGAGATATAATAGAATAGTACCTACGTACCAAACTTCATCAAAATCGGATGACAGGTGTGGTCTGTAGCTCTGTACATATCCACACACACAGACATAACTTTGAAAACCACTTCTTTGGGTTCAGGGGGACCCAAAATGGATATATCCACTCAAAACTCATACTCTAAAATTTTGAGGATACCAATAGGCCTACTTTCTCCATATACTATGTATAGGGGGAAAAGGTGACCCAAAACGGATATATACTCTCAAAACTCGAACTAGAACATTTTGACGAAAACAATACTTTCTCCATATACTATGTATTGGGGGAGAAAGTATTATAAGTAACTTCTATTAACTTAGCAAATCACTTCTGGATTTGGAAATGTGATTTTTTGTGGTAACCTTCTAATATTTTACTTAGTGTTTCAACTACTCCATAAACGTACCACCAAACACTCAGTTTAGAAATTTAATTGTAATATATTGTTGGTTAAACCTATTATCATAAATAATTGAACTCATAATATCATACAAAAACAAAATATAAGCTATTACTAAAAGTTTATGTTCATACAGGGTGGCTTCAGTCTGAAGGTTCGAGGAAAACTGGGAATTATGCCTGAATTTTGTAATTTCCCTGAGAACACCTAAATTTAGAACAAATTTGTTGTAATATGGATTTAGAACAAAATTAGAAGGGTTCAACACCCAGCAACGTAATTTTGCATAAAAGCCTTTGAGTAAACACCCTTGACACTGTTAGCGCAAGAAAAATCCCACCATCAAAACATTGTGAATTGGGACATCTTCCGCAGTCAGGGCAAAAGCGAGAACATCATCATCTGTCTCTAGTAGTTGCTGCTCAAGCAGATATCATTAGAGCCTTTTGATGGGCTGTTTTACGCTGTACTGGGTGTGGCCACGATTGGCGCACATTGACCAGTGGTTGTATTGACACAATGACAGTTCAACAAGTACCACGGATGGTACACGGTTTTATTAGCATAGTTTGTATATCATACTTTGTTACTTAAACTGTACATTAGTTTAGTTTTATATGTATATTTAGGTAATCATATAAACACAATTTTGTTTTTTGGGCAGTCTGTGGTAGTTTTAGTACACATATGTACTTTTGAATTAAGTTAAATTCATGGGTCACCGGTGGCGCTTTTTGGAGCAAATATGCAGTAAATAGAAAAATGATTGTAAAATAAATCAAAATTCATGTTCTTGGTCCATGGACTGTTTTTCAAGACAAAAAAATAGGTTTTACATACCTTTTAGCAAAGCCTGCAACTTTTTCTTTATTATGTTCTTTATTTCATAAAATGTACAGATTAGTACATGAAATTGTGTCAACATAAGATTTCTTATCTAGATTGCTATAACTAGTGATTTTAGAGTAGTCCAAAACAGAAAATATATAAACATTATTGGCCTTCAAATTGATTTTCCTTTCTCTAAATAATAAGCCCAGCTCATTAACACATCAAATGCAAATTAAAGTAACAGAAAACAAACATAGAACAATCAATGAAAAACACATCTTTTATAGGGTTGGTTTATAAACATCAAAATTTAAAGAGATGAATGACTAAACAGGTGATAACTTTTTTTGTTTGCTTGACCTGACTCAGTAAATTAACAATTTGCCTATTACCTAAAAATTTTGTTTTTTTTTAGTCTGTAGTCTGTACTAATATATTTAAGTTTCAATAGTTTAACAATTTGATCGTGTTTATGTGAAAATGAAAAGTGATGTGATTAAGTTTATCTCTGTAAAATATATTATAATTGTGGATTTAAAACTGTAATCATTCAAAGATATTTAATGTACAATGATTTTCAGGAGGAAGAGCGACGCAGATATGGATCATCGGTTCCACCCCACATGCGTCATCATCAACATCATCGTGGAGGTCAAGTCATCATAGAGACGGAAGAAAACCTGAGTGACAAAGAAGTCTACCCATCTAACCACATGAGTATTCCGGCCATAGGTATTCCATACCTCAACTTGCTATCAACACATTTTATATCAAATCACTTCTAGGTGTATGTGTTAGAACATTTGCTATTAACATGAGAAACAATACTTATGCAATACTTTTATTTAGTAGAAGAGGCAGGGGGTTTTTGCCCAGTTGGTGTGTCAAAATACTCAAAATCATAATTTTATCGAATTTCTCATTTGGGGAATAAGCTATACTCAATTCCACGTCCACCATGCCGTACAGGTCTTATGGAAGATAGCCTTGCTACTACCATTACTGTAAACTTCGGGGCGGCTCACGGACTATCGTAGTCCGAGCCCAGAATCCGGAAATAACCGGTATTTGGGCCGCAACTTAAAAAATCGGGTTCACGAGCTCGAGACTTTATAAGCTGCGGACCAAACTGATAGGCTGCACACAACTAGTGCAGGGATAAAACCTGGTTTTAAAAGTTGGGTTCACGAGTCTAGTCCGAGCCCAAATGAGATGGTTCGGGCCCAAAAGAACAATGGTGTTTGATCTCCAACTCAGACCTGGTAGGAGGAAGGTTTAAGGTGACATCATGCCGGTTTTATCTAATTATCTCCTTTATTTTTATAATTTTTTAAAAACTAATGTTTGAATATGGTTCCTCATTAAATTCCGAACAATTTCATTACCCACAACCATATTAAAAAAATATGTAAAAATGGTAAAAAGGTGCATAAAACATGCAAAAAATCATCAAACAACTTAAAACGACAAATAAATTATGCTTGTAACAAAGTAGTATCGTAACAAAGATATTTTTACTGATAAACCCCATTTTATTACAGTTTTAACAATAAAATTATGCGTAAATATAAATTTAACTTTCAAACACAGTTAAACCACTGTCATCTAACATAATTATCAGAAATACTGTAGTTTAAAGTGTCGTGGGAAACATCAAGCTAACCATACGGTTCGCGTTTATGTCACCGTCGTGTGTTGTACTCACTGGTCGCTGTATGTATTGAATATGACTATGAAATATCTTTATGTTGACTACTATGTACTACCACTCCACTACCTTGCATACGACCAGCTCGTCATCATGACTAAAACGTTTTTATGACTTGATGAATTGAAAGATGGATTTAGAAGTTCCAAAGATGCCGTCAATGAGTCATTCGAGGCGTTCACTCCAAGGCACGGATTTCCCGACAACAGAATCCATTAGAGTATTCTAAATTGGAAAAAAATGTAAGTTGCATTTATGGCTGATGGCACTTTTCATAGAGAAACTGGTGATTTATTGGATTGGATGTTGGTAAAGCTTGGATGGTAGCTATTTGTTTGGTAATGAAAGCAGAATAATTCAAACTTTCAGTTCCAAACTATGCCAAAAGAATAAAAAAAAACAATGTTTTCCTAAATTTGAACGCATTTTAATACCAATGATACTGATTTTTAAAATCGCAACAACACAAAATGTAATTAAAAAACCAGAGCTGTTTACATAAATAATATTACGAGCGAACTACAGAATATTATTTCAACATTTTACAGCTAGATAATTAAAGAGTGTAAGAATAATGGAAAGATTATTCTTAGATTACAACCATGATAAGGACCACCTCACACGTACGATTTTTATATCTAAATAGTCAGTACCTCCAAATTCCTTTTTCGTTTCAATAATTGTACCATTTAAATAAGTTAAGTTAAAATCAGCCTATCAAAATATCACCATCCTAAATTATCGGGCACTTATGCCAAATAGGCATTGATCCGGTTATGAATAACCGGTTATTTTATGTCATGCATCTTAATTGAATTACAATAATGCACACAAAAAAATGTATTTCACTAAAGACTCCCATTATCTGATTCCATACAAACGTAGCTTGTGTTTATAAATCAATAAACTTTGATAGATTTTTATAGGCGACCATTGAGACAATAAAATACACAAAAAATATTGGGTGTATATTGGGTGTTGTATGTATATTGGGTGTTGGGTTAAATGTATTGGGTGTGCGTATTGTTTTGGGTGTTTTTGTTCAGCCTTTTTTCACTATCACCCTATTGTATGGAAGTGCCTATGTCAGCAACAGTGGCTTCACGTGTGTTTCCAGGTTGTTACCAACGTCTCAACAAAAATTCCCTGCGAATCCCTGTCATTAGGCTCTGCTTCGGATTTGGTCTCGACCTACAATAGACCCGGCTTTCACACCATTAGGCTCTGACTCGTGAACCAGTTTTTTGGTTGTCGCTTATATAGTCCGGGACCAACCTCTGGTCGCGGACTATGAAGTCCCTAGCTTGTGAACCGCCCCTTCATGTTTTCTGTCATGCGGGATGTGTCAACAGTCCTCGGGACGCTCGTGAAGGCACTTAAGTTCATTTTTCTAATATCTGTGATGTTATGGTATTCATCAAGATTGGTAATTTGACTTAGAATATTAAAAATTATATGATTTTCCTATAAAAATAGCCTAAAGGCTTATTTCAGTTGAATGTTTAACCACAATCAGTATAGTGCATTGAATTTAAGTTTTGCAACTTAAACACAGTGTTGTTTATAATGTACAATTTGCACATGGGCTGTGAATTAATTGGAATAAGTTACCGATTTAATTAATGAGGTATTTAAAATAATAAAGTTTTTGGGTTAAATTAGTAGTATGGTAAATTCAACGACTAACTATTTTCTTTCAATAATTAGTCCCCGTCCAAAAAATAAACAAAATTTTATATGATTCAAAAATATAAAATAATGTGATTGACAGTTTATTACAATGTCTTGTTTTAAAATCGATTGATATGTCATTGTGCAATGCATCAGTTAACAGACTATGTACATCCGTTGATGATTCCAGTGACAATTACTTTTTATGACCAATAAAATGTTTGCCCTATATTAATAATCAAGGATTTTTCTTTAAAACCTTCTTTCTCGGCTCTTGTGAATCACAGGGAAAATCTACGCAAACTGTTGGGAAGATATTTTCCTGTAGATGTGCAGAATCCCTTCATAAATTAAAATAAGCTCAAAAATATGCACAATAAATGAACTTAAATTTTAAAAAAAATTACATGGACCTTATCGGTTGCCAGCATGTTAACAAAATAACAATGCAATATAAACAGAAAATCTAAACAAATGGAAGAAATTCCAATCACATGTTTTTGTACAGCATAGGGTGAAAATAGAGAAATCTGTACATTACATATTTTGGGCAAGTTTTCGACCACTGGACAACCTCTAGTATCAATAAAATAATATATCTGCTACATTTTGTATATTTAAAGCTGTATAAAATCAGTTTGGTGGAAGAAGTGTGTCTATTTAGATGTGTAGTTCCATTGCAATGAATCACAGAAGGCAATCAAGGTGAGTTAATTTGACCAAAAAAGGATAATAAATCTAATCAGCAAAATAAATATAAGTAGGCCTACTGTATTGCATAAAAATAATTAAAATATGTGGTAGTTTGAGTTTTGTTTCTAAAATATTTTCTAACATGTTTATTATTAGTGTATAAATTATTATTGTCATTTTTTTAGTTATAACAAAATGGTTCTTAAATGTCATTCTTATAATATTTTTAGTTAAATGAGTAGGTACGTATTTATTTAAGTGATAATTAACTCAATTCTAAAAAAAACCTTAAGGAACGAAATTAAAAGGGTTTAAGCAGTGGTATGAAGTAGCGCAGTAGCGGTTCACGGGTGTTGATGTTTTTAGGACGGCTAGTAGCGTGGAAACTCCCACTTGAAATACATGGCATACGGGCGCTCCGTACTGCACGGTGAACGTGGAATTGAGTATATTACCATAGGTCTCATGGTATAACCAAATATGACCTATATGACCTATATATATGGTATATGACCTATACCAGAGACAACTTTACTTATTTGTTTTGAAATCCCCAGAGGCGAAATAACACCATCCATTCAAATTCATATGGGTTTTTTCGCTATCAGAAAACATAAAAAAATTATTCAATTTTTAAATTAAATTTTGTACAAACGTGTAAACCTATGTTTTTTTCTAATGAGTTTGCAAACTAGCATAATGGAACTATGGGAAAGGGGGTTTAAAATTTGTTTTTCTCACTTTTGACCAACAAAAAATGGAAGTTTGCAATTTCACTCTAAACCATTTTGCAGAGCTTTAAAAAAAATTATGAAGTATATATTGAAGTGCTTATTGATTACAGAGAAAATTAATAAAAACTTTAAATTCAATACTCTTGTGTTATTTTTATGGAGAATAAATAAACTGTTGTAGTTTGCTTGTTTATTGATATAGTTTTATGAAATTTAGGATCTATTTTATTTCACACTAAGGTAGGCCTATTAACTTTTCCCTAAAGAACACACTGTATTACCTTCATTGTAGCAGCAAACATAAGTACTTGTTAAAACTAATGTTATTTAAATATAAATGGGTCATGAATCTGTAATCGACAATAGTATATTTCATTACTAGTACCGAAAGTGGCATTTTCCGGCGCGCGCTCAATTTTCATGTGTGTGACAAAGCCAAACACAGGAAAAATTTCACGTGAGAGGAGAAGCCGAGCATGTGAGAGTCGTTTTCACGTACGAGGCGAAGCCGAGGACGGGAATAATGGAGCAAGTGTCGGAACATAGCTTTCGGTACGAGTTTTGAATGATACTTTTCATCATGACGCAATTACTTTAACCCTCCGAGTGTCATGCGTCGCTGCAGCGACGCGTAACGCACTTTGTATAGTGTCGTGCGTCGCTGCAGCGACTCGCGAACACTGTTTACGGCGAAGGCTCTATGACTAACTGAATCGGACTGTACTGGATTGAGTTAGGTATCGTTCTGTCCGTAATATTCTAAGCTTTCTGCAGAGGTCTGTCTCTAAGCACTATTCATTTTAGTTCCGAAAATATTGTAGCAGACAGCTGACTGAGCTGACGTGCGTGTATTTGTAAACAGCTAGGTTACCCTCGGACCGATGACTGATGTGTTTTATTACGTTTATCATTGTTTTAGTGTTAAAATCAAAAGTAGTGATATACGTGGTGCATTATAAGAAGATTTAAGTGGTTTTGAAGTGCTGGTTGATGATCCTGAAGAAGTAGGTAGTGATATTGATGTAAATTATCAGCCAGATTCCTAGCTATGGTTGGGCTATGCATTCTTAGCTAAACGCTATGTACTGAAATCTGTTTTTTGCCCATAACTTTTTTATTTGCAAATCTACTTCCTTATATTATTATAGATTTGTAATCCTCATAAAATTTAGAACAAAGTGGCTATTTTCAAATATTTATAGGCCTATAATTTATACAATTTCATTGAGCGCAAACTTATTTTTTTTTGAAAATTTTCGAAATTATACATTTTTTTACCTAAAAAAATTTTTTTTTTTTTAATCTTCCTTATGTTTTATATATAATATTGAAGCCCAAGATTTTCCAAACAAAATGGTATATAGAACAGTATAATTAACATTGTTTTTAAGCTTCTCAGATCAGTTTTAATAAAACCTTGCAAATGAGCAAAAAATAGGCTGACATTAAGGCCAAAACACGTGACACTCGGAGGGTTAATTGACTTAACATTTTGTAATTTGTACCAGCTTCTAAACTTTCTGAATTCCTCTTCTTATCTTTGCCTTTATTTCTCTGGTGGAAGGTGATTATTTACCTCCGAAGCTGTTTTCATCAAATCATCAGTAATACTTTGAGCAATTTCCAACACGCACTATGCTAAAAACATAGCAATACAAACTAACGCCTGTTTCTGAATACATTTAGATTGTGCAACAATGAAAACAGCTGATATAAATCATTAAAATAAACCTAACAAAACACTAGTGCAGGTAGTGGATGAATTGAGAACTAATCTTGAACAAGGGAAAGTAAATTTAGAGGGTGGGAAGATCAAAATCAGCTGATCGTTTTTCCCTCGGTCTAAATTAAAGCTTGGGAAACAACTACTTTCTTTGATATCAGTTGATATTGAAAATCGTTTCTTTCGGTAAGGAGTGATGAAAATTTAATTTTCATTACTCTACACACGAAAGTACACTTTCTAAACGTAAAATGAGATAAGAAAATAGGTAATTCCCGCTACTGCACGGAAAAGTTACATAACGTTAACTTTCCGTGCGTATGTACTGCACGGAAAGTAACCGCTATGGGATTTTGCGGTGCAGTCAGATCAGCTGATTGTATTGTTGTTGAAAACACATTCCTCGCTTATATATTGACATTGTCAGTTAGGTTATGTTTGTTGAGATAGATTCTTTGAACTATGTGTACTAATATGGATAATATTCCTGAAACTTTGATGAACAGAGCGGTAAGTGTAACAAACGAATTATTGCCTGATGTGTCGCGTTTAAGATACGAAAATGAATACGATAAGCTTTGTACTTGGTGTCAAAAAGAAAACATTAAACCTAGCCAGGTTAATGATGACATACTTCTAGTCTATATGTCAGAACTGTCGAAAACTATGAAACCTAGCACCTTGTGGAGCAAGTATTCAATGGTTAAAAATGTCTTAAAAGTAAAAAAAAATCTTGGAAATTTAAAATTTCCAAAAACAGTTGCATTTTTAAAGAAAAAGTCTGTTGGTTTCAAACCTAAAAAAGCGAATGTTTTTACATCTGATCAAATTTCTCAGTTCATGATCAACGCTCCCGACAAAGAATGGTTGTTAAGTAAAGTAATTTTGACGTTTGGCATTTTTGGAGCCCTTAGGCGAGATGATCTATTACGCCTTAGCATAAATGACGTAAAAGATTATGGCAGTTTCATTAAGGTTACATTGAGAGATGGTAAAACACATGCTAGCAGAAGTTTCATCATTACAGACGATGAATGTACGTATCAACCCTGCCAGCTAGTACGTAAATATTTGTCTTTACGCCCATCAAAAATGACGAGCCCTAGACTTTTTGTTGGCTTCAGGCAAGGCAAGTGCGTAGCACAACATGTCGGGAGTCATACGATTTCGGATGTTCCCAAAAAGGTCGCCCAGTACCTTAAGCTAGAACAGCCTGAATCCTACACAGGTCATGCTATTCGACGCACATCCGCGTCAATGCTGGTGGAAGGGGGAGCGGATTTACTCACACTCAAGAGGCACGGAGGCTGGAAAAGTGCAACCGTTGCTGAAGGTTACATTGAGGAGTCCAAAAATAGAAAAATTGATGTGTCTAAAAAACTTTTTTCAAAACCAAGTACTTCAATCTCAAATCAAAACAATTCCTCTTTGAATTTACTTCCAATCAGAGACATTACTAATTCAATTTCAAATTACAACAATTCCTCTTTGGATTCACTGCCACTCAATAACATTTCTAACAATGATGAAGAGGTGAATCTGGTTTCAAAACAATATTTTACAATCGACGATGTAATTTCATCAGAAGAAGATACTGTGCAAAATCGCAATTTCATTCAAGAAAATAATAAAGTTGATGGAACACACTCGGAAGTCAATGTTGCAGAAATGAGAAAAAACCTAAAGCTACCACAAAAAATGTTAAACATAAGTGAAAATCAAAACTGCGACTTTAACATACATTTTCATTTTCATTAATAAAGATTTATCAGCGTGTTGATCCTATGTAATCATCAAAGGTCTCTTTCTTTATTTGTTTATTCATCAGCTTGTTCTGTAGTTAATTTAATAAAGATACTTTTTTTTACCCAAAATAGTCTGTTTTTCCTCAAACTATTGGCCATGCAATTATTAATAAGTGCACGGAAAAAACTCATAACGTTAAGTTTCCGTGCTTATGTCGAGGTACATACACACGGAAAGTTAGCGTTATGAGTTTTTTCCGTGCACTTATTAATAATTCAGAGTTGAGTTTTTTTTCATTAGTTCGGTTTTTTCTCTTAATACTAAGTTAAATAAACGAAAATTTTCATGTTTTTATAAGTTTTCGGTATCGTAATGAAAAATAATGTTCAATACTCGCCTCGAAAGTGTCATTGCGGGGCACGATGGCGTTTCCAGCGCTCGGCTTCGCCTCGCGCGAAAATGCCATCTCTCCCCGCAATGAGTCACTTTCCAGTCTAGTAATGAAAACTACTATTACCATACTCCAGCTGATTTTACCGGTCCCTTTCTGAACTTTTCTGTAAAAAACTACATTCTGGTCTATAAAGAGGGCATACCAAGCTGCTTACTGTGTACTGTGGAGAAGATTCATTTACATTTGGCAGGTATGTTATAGAATTAAAGAAAAAAGAATTTGTTTCAATTAGGGATGGACGAGATTGGATTTTTAGTTCGAGACGAGACGAGACGAGATTTTTTATTTCTCATAAAATTTCGAGACGAGATCGAGACGGGATTTCCCTTCTCATACACAACGGGAAATGCACGTTCGGAATTTTTACCTGATTTTGTAATATTGTTAGATGACTGTTTAAATACAAAAATAATGATAATAGGCAAGAATATTTACAATCTTTTATTAAAAAACCTCAGCATAACATTTTTTTTATTAATCACGCCTAAATTATTAAAAATGCCTACGATTAGGAAACATAGTGATATCAGTTAGGATAGAGTTCAACTTATCCTAAAATAAAATAAATCATAAAATAAAATATTAATTTGTATAAAATAGTTACTTGTTTTGACTTTTTTTGTAGTAATAAAACATTCCTCACACTGCTAACACTTCAAAACAAAACAAACAAAACTTCTCAAATGTTATTAAAATAATTTAAGTAATATTTACATTTGAAGAATTAATTAATTAAGAACGCCTTCGCAAAGGAAACGCAACTACAACACGCGCCTGTATTGCGGGTATTGCATTGACTTTCTGCAGGCGTTTTTAATTTTTTTTTTTTTTTTTTTTTTTTTATTCTCGTCTCGATAAAAATCTCGGCCAAAAAGAAATCTCGTCTCGTGTAACGAGATTTAAAATTTCCCGAAAATTTTCCGAAATTTCGAGACTTGACCATCCCTAGTTTCAATCTCAGTCTTAACAGACAATTATTTTGTAACTTCAATATTTTCTACAATTTCAATACTATTCCACTGATCAACTGTCGTTTGTTACAATTTAACCTGTAATCTATATGATGTGCACATTTACCAATCTTGTTCACCATTGAACTATCGTCCTTTGTGTTTACAATACAAGTAAAGAGATAAAGACAGTCGAATGTAATGATTGTTAGCAGAAATCACCAAGGACACAGGAAGTGAGGGGAACTACAGCGAGGAGGACTATATGGACAGACGAGGTGGGGGTGCAGGTCGGCCCCATCACCAACAGCAACACTATGATAGGGGACCTCGCGGGCAATACGGGGCTCGTCAACAAGCTCCTACACACCCCCGCAACCCACAGCGACGAGATGATAGGTAAGCAAGTTTGGTAATAAACTGATGGTCATTACTGTACAAAACAAGCATCGTTACTCTTACGTTGGCTGTAAGAGAGAGGCTGGGAGATGACCAACCAATGGCAAAACGGTATCGTCAAGTAGGGTTAGGTTAGTCGAAGGAATAGGGAAGAAAAAGGCAATGAATGTGGTGTGCAGTATTAGGCTATATTGCACTGTTGTGGTATTTCAATGCCAATTTTTGTGAATTCATCTTGTCAAACTCCAGTTGCCATTCATTAATGGAAAAAAAAACTGAATACTCTAAAGAAAATAATTGAATCATGTATGCTTGAGCAGCTTCAACACTTTTTTACTGTGAATAACTTTTTATATAAAGATCAATACGGCTTTAGAGCCAACTGTTCAACCACAATGGCTGTAGAAGAATTAATTAACCAAGTTTTGCAAGGGTTTGAAGACAAGTTGGTGACAGGTACATGCCTAATTGATTTGACCAAGGCCTTCGACACAATCTCCCATCCCATTCTTCTTGATAAACTATATTACTATGGTGTTAGGAACCGTGAACTAAACATCATTCAATCCTACCTGGAAAACCGTAAACAGCAGGTCGTGATAGGAGATGATTATTATGATATTTTAGAATTGAATGCTGGTGTTCCGCAGGGGTCCATTTTAGGACCTTTCCTGTTTTTGATTTTTATTAACGACTTTAGTTTTAATATCCCTACTCAATCAATACTTTATGCTGATGATACTACCCTGTTCTGTAAAGATGATAATGTTGTAACAGTTGAGTACGATCTTAATCATGCCCTAAACTGTGCTAAATTCTGGTATAAAATCAATAATTTGGCTATCAATGAGGAAAAAACAGAATACATCTACTTTTCTCTAAAAAAAGATCAACCCACTGATGCTTATAAAACAGTCAAACTCTTAGGCATCCATCTTGACAACAGACTAAGCTGGGATAACCACATTACACAACTTTGTAAAAGATTGGCTAGAATAACCTGTCTCTTGAGAAAACATGGATCATGTGTGAGTTTTAACACTTTGATAATGACTTACTACGGTTTGTTTCACTCACAGCTGCTTTATGGTTTGCGTCTCTGGGGTGGTTCACACTTAGCTCAGAAAGCAGTTGTTTGGCAAAAGAAAGCTCTTAGAGCCATGCTAGGATTGCAAGATCATGAATCCTGTAGGGATCACTTTTCCAATTTAAATTTGCAAACACTGCCATCTATGTACATTCTTTGTAATTTAATTCATATAAAAAACAACCCCTTAAAATTGTCTAGCTATTCTCATCCATACAACACGAGGCACAAAAACAACCTAGTCACACCTCAAATCAGACTTTCAAAAAATGTAAATAGCCATTTTTACATCCAACATATTTTCTTCAACAAGCTACCAACTTGTTTTCGTGAACTACCTTTAAACCAATTTAGAAGAAAAATTACTGAGTTTTTAAAATCAAAAGCATTCTACACGCAGGAAGAATTTTTAAATAGTGACATATCATGTTTAGATTCTAAATAGGATATTGTATATATTTAAATTTATAATTGATGTATGATGTATTTTTAAGTACTGTTGTAACAATGCCTATTACAAAATGTTATGTTTAATGGCTGCAATAAATCTTATTGAATCTTATTGAACCATAAAAACAGTTATTAGAATTACCCATGTTATTTAAACATTGTTTGTGCAGTATTTCAGAGAGAGAAATTGTAATGAAAAAAGTTTATGAATTATTGAAGTTAATATTAAGTATACCTCCACTATACATAAATCCCTAAGAATTTTTATTCAACTTGATGTACCATTAGTAACATCATATGGACATCTCAGAGTTGACTTGCTTGTGACCCGAATAGAAGTAGATGGTGTATGTTTACTTCTTATGGCTTCTTTTCTGCTTACCCTCAACAGTGTGGTGTTCTCATCAGTCTTTTGGACATTTTTTTTAAACTTTCTTGTTTGTTTTGGTTAGCATTACGTAGGGAACCTGCAAGAGGTATGATTTTGAATATTTTAAAATACAGAGGATTGACGAAAGGGAATTATTAGTACCTCAACTTATAGCATTATGGTACGTATAATGTTGTGTTTCAGAGATCCCTATTACACAGACAGGAGACATCAAGAGAGAGGAGGGTACAGGGGGACTGGTGGTGGAGGGTCTGGGGGGACCAGAGGGGGTCCATCACAGCACACACAGCAGCCCCCCAGAGATAAGAGGGTACGATGGTTCATGGCACTATTTGATTACGACCCAACGACCATGTCACCAAACCCTGACGCATGTGACGAAGAATTACCCTTCTCCGAAGGAGACTCAATAAAGGTGCAGTAGTCTATGTAGTTTTTTTGGCTATCAGTTTTATTTGCTCAAGTTTACGGTGCTTCTATAGATGTATTTAAAACCTCCTTTCTGATATAAATAAATAAATAAATAAGGTCTTTATTTCCAAGCTTTCATTAAAGTACAAACTCTGTTTTTCATGACAACTTTGGTCCAATTAAGTAAATAAAACAATACAATAGTCTATTCATAAAATCAAAAATAAAATTATCTATACAGTTTAGGTAAACATTTCCTTTACACATTTCTTAAACCTATTACAACTGTACTCTTTTAAAGTGGGTGGCAAAGCATTGTACTTTTTTGGGCCAAAGAAACTAAACCCCTTCTTCCCCAGTGTCATATCATGGGAAAGAACATAAAAAATGGATTGGAATCTTTGCACAATTAATTTGGTCGATCTTAAATTTTAGAGGATAAAAGAATGCTGTGAAATAAAATCAAATGTTCACTGTTGATAGTGCTAACAATTACTCCAATAAAACCCCAATTTGGAAAAGAATTTGGAATACAAAATTAGAAATACTGTAACATACTGTAGCTTTACCTGGACCCAAGATGAAGCCTTAGTTGAGATCTAATTATCCATCTTGGGGTTGCTAGCTTCGTCAAAGAGATCTGCTTTCTCAAACATACACATACCCTCAACAGTGTGGTGTTCTCATCAGTCTTTTGGACATTTTTTTTAAACTTTCTTGTTTGTTTTGGTTAGCATTACGTAGGTCATATATGTTAGGTCAGCTTTTTCGGCGGCGCCACCCGCCGGTCTCCCCGGTCTCCCTGCGGCTAATAGGCACCATTTGCCTCCATGCCCCTCTACACGTCCGACACCGGCGGCTCCACTAGCTGCGCCACATGTTGCTCACGGCTAATAGGGGCCTAAGTGCTAATAGTAACGTGCAAATTGTGGATGCAGTCACTCAACGTCATGTTTGACACTAGACATAATATTTTGTGTTGTGGTAAATTCCGCTGTTTGAGTGAGCTACGAATGTGTCGCGCGACTAGTGTCCAGGTTCCAAACGCCGGCGCACCGGCAGGTCACCGGCGTCACCACCGGCGGCTCCACTAGCTGCGCCACATGTTGCTCACGTCTAATAGGGGCCTTACATCTCATCTCATACAATGACCCTCGCTGACTTACTTGTCCTTCTGGGGATCGACACTTCCGGCCTTCTCATACCAGATTAGCAAATACATAATTTAAATAATATGAACTCTATATTGTAATAAATTATTGATTTGTTTCTTTGTGAATAGAGCACATGGTTAAAAAAAATAACAATAATAAATCTATACAAATAAAAATTTAGTTTTGTGTGTACACTGCGCAGAATCAAGACTATTTTTACATCTCATGGGCGAAGAAAGCTAAAACAAGTCTTATCTCAATTTCTGTTTGTCTGAACAGCATAAAGACTGCACGACAATTAAATACTGACAATAATTAAATGATAGTAGTGTCCACACTACCGCGGGATATCATTAACATTTTGCTGCAATCATGGGATACGATTACTATGTTTTTACGACCGCGGAAGACAATTACAATGTCTACAGGACCGCAGCAGATACAATAATGATGTCTACACGGCTGCGAGGGATTATCAGAAATTTGCCGTGATCGCACAAGACGATGATAATGTATACACAGCCACTGGAAACAGTCAGAATTTTTTCATGATTGCGTAAGACGATGATGATATCTACAGAACCACGAGGGATGATCAGAATATTGCTGCGATCACAGAAGACGATGATAATGTCCACACGACCGCGGGAAACAGTCAGAATTATGCCGCGATCGCGGAAGACGATGATGATCTCCACACGACTGCGGGATATGATTTACATTTTGCCGCAATAGCGGGAGACGATTACTATGTCTTCACGACTGCGGGAGACAATTACCATTTTTCTGCAATGGCGGGAAACGATTACTATGTCTACAAGACTACGGGAGACGATATAATGATCTTTACGCCCACGAGGTCTGATCAGAATTTTACCGCAATCGGGCAAGACGATGATAATGTCCACATATTTATGTTCATACTGTCATGGCAGACGATAAATTATGTCTATACGACCGCAGAAATAGTCAGGAATTTACGGTGATCGCTGCTAAACTCAGCAAGATCTGCGACAAAAACGACCCCGGGGTATAATTAAAATTTTTCCGCTTTCGCTGGAGACGATTACAATGTCTTCGATCGCATCCAAATACAACCACAATTTTTTTTCCAGTTTTTTGGTGCCCCTTTAAAAAAGCCAATTGCTTCACGCCCTAGGCACATGCCTACGGTGCCTATTTGGTAAATCGTCCCTGAGATTTCTTTGTACAAAGAAATAGACATAGTCAACATGAATGCAAACATTTTAAAAATTATAAAATAAAATACAAGGTTTACAAAATAGTAAGTTAAGTAAAATATGACAGGTCTATAAAATGTAGATAATGTGGATCTGCCAAGCCCCTCTCTCAAGCAATTTTATACAGATTACCAAAAAAAAAGTGTTGGCAAATCCACATTATAATTCAATATTTATATTTATTTTGAGAAATCCATGGATGCCATAGAAATGGTTGTTTATCAACTAAATGTATAAATTTATTATTGTCACAATTCTAAGCCTGATGGGAAGAGGTCTGCAATCTGCAGTGATCCACAGGACCCGCTTCACAAATGGTGCAAATAACTTGTTTCTGTAAAATAAGGATTTCATTTGAATAAGACAAATGCCCCCACAGTGTTAGTCCATACAATACATGTGAGTGAAAAAAGCCAAGTATGCCGTCCTTACAAAAATTGAACTAAAAGATGTTAGAGATAGAATTTTTAGAAATAAAATAAAAAAGTGGGTAGTTTTGTCAGAGAAAGAAGCACCAAAGCAGCCAGGAACCAAATGGGCAGAAGAGAGGAAAAGAAGACATGGAGAAAGGATGAAAGAAGTATGGAAGAAACAATGTCAGAATGCTTTGCGTGATCGGTCTGGGTCCATTCGCGATAAGCTAAGCTATATAGCATGTATGGTGGCTGTAATGGTGAGGTGGTATTTAACTATTTTTACCAGTGTGAGATGTAGCCCTTAATTTTATTTCAGGACTGTGCCTCAAAGATATATAAAGATTCTATTTCATTGTAAAATCATTGGCCATGAAATATATAGGCCTGATAAGAAAATAGATAGCCATGCGACATTTATTTGCAAGGCATTTGGTTTCCCATTAAACTATTAGAAACTGTTATAGAGGTTTTGTCAGCGTATCTCCAAAAATGTAAACTTGATATGCTAACAAACTTTTATTCTGAATTAAATAATGTTTCAACTTACCACATGATCCCGTTCTGTACAATGGGTACACTGCTAGTACTACAATAAACGAGTGATTAATCAACAGGTTATTGGAGAGAAGGATGCAGACGGCTTCTACTGGGGCGAGTGTAAGGGGAGAAGAGGATATGTGCCCCACAATATGGTTGTTGAAGTCCAGGTTAGTCTAAAAAGCTGTAATCTAAGGACTTGATTCATTATACCGGATGTTTCACTAGCCTTATTGACCTGAATTTCATCTTTGTTCACCATTGCTCCAAGAGATTGCTTAAATAGACAGGCACTACAATTTCTGATTTTTAATGTCTTAAAATGGTTTGAATGTATTTTAGTTTGAAAAAAGAATCAAAGAATTTTGAATAGTGTTTAAAAATATTTTTACCTATGGCGGTTTTTTTTTAACTAGCCATTTCAGTTCAGTTCATTGAATTGAAGAATTGAAAAGATTCACTTAACAGCATTGTTGTGCGACAAATCTTTCCCTACACTGGAAAATATTATAAGTGCTCAGTCGCAACCGTTAACCTACAATGGCTGGGTAAAATTCCAGGGTCTACGATAAGGGAACCACTAGGCCAAAAGCCGGGTCTAACTGGTACAGGGCTGGCTCATACACGGTCACTGTGAACAAGTAAAAACCAGTCACCAAACAATCGTAGAATAATCACTATCAGGCCTACACAGATTCTCCACTCTCCTAGGAGGTCGTTGCTGACTACGCAACTTGGTCTTCGTCATAACTATCCAATGGTTAGGCCCAGAGTACCTAAAAAATGTGAGCGACCACTTACCAATAAAAACCACAACGCCCATTATCAACAGGCTGGCCACTAAAATAAAAATCAAATACCATACACAACTCTAATGCCGAAGCTAACAATCAAACATTAGTTAACTCAATAAAATTCCATAATATAACCATATTTATTTATTTTATCTTCACAGTGTTGAGAAATACATTATTGTTTTTACTTTATGTATAGCGTGTCAACTACATGTATATTTTATTTTCTAATCTTATTGGCTTGAATCTATTCAACACATGTACTCTGTTTTATTGAATAAGAATGATTTGATTTGATTTGATTGAAAATCAAAGTCTAATTGAAAATTAGCTATGTCTTGCAAGGGCTTTTCATTTTATATTCATTGGTGCATAAAAGGTGGAAAAAGTAATCAACTCTTTAAAAACAGAAATTCTGTCGGTCACAATGATGTCCCTCTTAAAGTTATAAAGCTTGCCAAAAAATGCCTGAGTCACATTTAAAGTCATTTAATAAATTCATCTTTTTGTATAGGATTTTTTCCAAATCAATTTAAAAAATCCAAAAAACCACATCAGGTGTTGGATACATAACTCTCTCTTCGGCCATAATTATGTTTGTGTCCATTTAGTTCAGTTGTCTGTAGGCATTTATCAGGGACAGTTTGCTGACAGTTCGTAGGCTCCTCTGTTTTTTTTTTTTTTTAACTGATAATTTTGTGATAATTAATGCATATGAAATGGAAATGTAAAATGCTTAGTGTTTCTGATAAACTTCAGATTAAAAAGGTGCTAATGGATTTGGAAATGCAACAATATTGATGTTAACACATTAGCTGCCAGTCACCGATCGGGTCGGCGTACCTCATCTTGGTAGAAACATCGGCCGACTCGATCGGGTCGGCAGCGGGATTTTACATGACTTAAGTAAATTGATCCGTGACTTTTATCAGTGGTTGTGGGGGACTTTTTTAATAGTTCTAATCTGAGAAAACAATACTAATAATGTTATAGAATGTTAATTTTAGTCACAACATTTTTTTTATTTTACTTATACATTGACTACCAATAGGCTATATTTTGCCGACCGATCAGGTCGGCACATTTTTTTTTACTTTAACATCATTGTTAGTGCTGAAATATGAATAAAACTTGAATCTAACTGTAATAAACTTGTTAGGAATGTAATAAAGATTAAACCGTATATTGAAAAGATAGCTTTTAATTTCGCGATACGTTGTATACTTATGCCAAAACTATATATTTGAAATTAAAGAAATTATGTAATTTTTGTTTAAATGACAGTTAACATTTACATTTCAAATAACATTTCAAGTCACGTACATGGGAGAAAACAAAGCACTAAATGTGAAAAATACAATTGTACAGAATAACTACCAGAGTTCACAAGGATCTTGCCTATTTATGTAAGTTCTTGAAACAATCTTTAGAAAGAAATGGTTTCCCAGGACACGATTCACAAAATGTAGTGATCTTCTTGAGGTTCTTTGTTAATTTTCGGTCTCCAGTTCGTGAAGCTCTTGCATAGCACACTTTACAATTCTTCCGGGCTCTCCTTTTGTTCTTACCCTCGCCTACAAATATCACCGTTTCAGGCAAGTGGTGATGTCCAACATGTTTCACTAGCTCGATTTGTCCATCTTGCAACCCTAGTAGTGCGTACACAATCTTTTCCCTGAAGGTCGTAATGGAGTAGAGATGCTTATTCTTACTCTGAGAGTTGACCCCAGCTGCATCCTTGTAGGCGAGCCACGCATTGAGGACCGCTGTACCCAGTAGGAACTCTTCTGCGACCTTATGGTACCATCACATAGATTTTCTAATGGCTGTGCTGTACGACGACATCTGGTCACTGACATCAATCTCCATCTTCGCCTTGTTGTACTCGATGATGACAAGAGGTTTGATAATGGGTTCGCCCTGCCTGGTTTTTTCCCTGTATCAACATAGTCAGGACGATGTTTGGTTGACATCATTCCCACTTCCCTCTTATCAAACCATTTTGTGTAAACGATACCACTTGGGTATTCAAGACATCTCATTTCACCCTTCTTCATGTGGTCATTGGAATGAATGGTTTTTTATGAGGGAACCAGGTCCTGTTGCTGATAACACTTCCAACAAGGTGAGTAATTGCTAGAAGCATGTGGGCAAGATCAACAGAGGTGTAAAAATTATCAACATACAGTGTATGCCCTTGGTCCATATAATCTCTCATGAGGTCCATTACAACTGATGCGGCTAATGTCAGGCTATCTTCAGTTCCTGTCCCAGCGCCCATGTAAACTTTCATCTTGTACGTGTAGCCAGCAGTGTCGCATATTTTAAATACATTAATGCCGTACTTATGGGTTTTATTTGGAAGGTATTGGCAAAATAGAAGTCTTCCTCTGAAAGGGATTATACTCTCGTTGATAACCACATCTTCGCCAGGAGTTTTGTTAGTCTTGAAGGAGTTGTTCAGGATTTTGATCAGAGGAGAAATTTTACCTAGTCGGCCATCTCGCTCCATGTTCAAATTGTCGTTAAAATGCCAGAATCTCAAAAGCAATTGGAAACGGTTTCTGCTCATTACCTTACCAGCAACAACATTCTTATATACAATAAGTTTTTCGACCAATAGTCTGTCAGCTGTGGCATTGGCGCTAGACCCATCCATAATAAAAGGCTGGGAAATATTTTCATCTCATTTGGATAGGTAGGCCGCTATTTACGGAGTCTGCTACTACGATTCAATCGCAGTGTACAATTTGGGTCAAATTCACTAGAAGGAGCCTCGATTGCTCTTACTATACAATACAATACAATACAATACAATATTCTTTATTGTTAATTCATCAAGAATTACAATAGTGTCAATACAATAGTGAATTGTACATGTTAATTTTCATCAAATTCTTTTATTGAGTAGAAGGGTCTAGCGATTAGCCACTTCTTCAACTCCTGGTGTAGCTTGTTGCCAGTCAGGTCTCTCAGGTAGTCAGGTAGATGGTTCCTCAGCTTGCAGCCGGTGTAGGAAGGTTTTTTCTCCCAAAGAGTTGTTCGGTGAACTGGTAGTGCAAATTTGGAGCCATGACGGGTGTTGTAGTGGTGCAGGTCTCGGTTTCTTGGGGGGTTTATTTCATTCACATACTTTATAGATTCAAGTATGTAGAGAGACACCACTGTGAGGATTCCTAGGTTTGCGAATGCTAGTCTGCAAGTCTGTGGTGGGACAAGGTTGGCGAGGGCTCTTATGGCTTTCTTTTGAAGGACAAGAATTCGATTCATATTTTTTGTTGAAGTTCCTCCCCACACTGTCAAGCCATATCTAAGATGCGACTCTACCAGTGCGAAGTAAGCTGTTTTGGCCACGGAGAGTCCGCCTATGTAGTTTATTCTTCTGACGACATATATTCCAGTACTGATTTTTTTGCTTAAGTGGTTGATGTGCTCTTTCCATGTTAGTTTGTTATCAAGGATAACACCGAGAAATTTTGTGTGGTTTTCTATTGTTACATCCTCTAATTGAGGGACTATTTTCTTACTGAAATTCAGAGTTGTAGTTTTTGTGGGGTTTATTGCTAAGTCATTGTTCTTTGATTAGAGGATAGCTTTATTTAGGATCGATTTTGAATTAAGGTAAAGGTTTTGGGCTGTGTTGTTCTTAATCAAAATGGTTGTGTCATCTGCATGATTGCAACAGCATTTTCACTCTCAATTTGTTTGGGGAAGTCATTAGTCAATAAGATGAATAGAATCGGGCCTAATACAGAGCCTTGTGGAACTCCTCTCGTCAGCTTGCTTTTTGAAGATTTGAAACTTTCTGTGACTTCATTTGATGAGTTTTTCAGTTCCACGACTGGTGAACGTCCCGTTAGGTAGCTTTTGAACCATTCTAGCGCAGAGTTTCTTATACCGAGTCTTTCGAGTTTCTTGCATATCAGGTCGTGGCCCAGGCAGTCAAAAGCCTTACTGTAATCAAGGAAGATGGCGGAAATGTATTATTCGTTTTCTATCTGGTCTAGGACGTACTCAATTTAAAGCTGTTATAGCTGAGGATGTAGATTTATTCTTCCGAAAGCCATGTTGGCTGTCAGTTAAGAGTTTGTTATGATTAAGATGTGCCATTAATCTAGCCAGAGCAATTTTTTCTATGATTTTTAGAGAAACTGGAGATGAGAGAGATGGGCCTGTAGTTTTGAGCATTTTCAGTTGGTCCTTTTTTATGTTTGGGGTATATTTTACTGACTTTTATGGCGGATGGGAATTTGCCTTCTTTAAATGATTTATTTATAAGATAAACCAGAGGAGAGATGAGTTCTTGAGAGCAGTGCTTTATCATCTTAGAGGAAAACTCATCTATTCCACTTGATGTTTTGGCTTTTAGGGAGTTTATTATCGTTTTAACTTCTTTATAGGATGTTGAAGTTAGGGTAAGGTGTATTGGGCAGACTGGTTCCTCTCCATTCAGCACTGTTTCAGGGTCTATAACGATTGCTCTGTTTTGGTCAAGGGTATCTTCTGCTATATTTGAGAAGAATGTGTTGAAGTGTTCGGCCATTTCTTTTGTGTCGTTTGTGAGTTTGCCATTTATTTCTAATTCTGTAAGGGTTTTCTCTTCACATTTTCCTTTCCTTTCCTTGTTTATAACTTGCCATAGTGCTTTTGGTTTGTTGTCAGATTGTTCTATGAAGCTAGCTGTTGAGGACATTTTTAGGTTTCTTAGTTTCATGTCGTATATCCTTTTTCTATTAATCATTTCTAATTTGTCTTCATTTCTGTTCGTTAACTCAAACTTTTGCAGAGCTTTCAAAAAGTTCTCTTTAAGGTATTTTGCTTCAGGATCGTAGTACTTCATATGTTTTTTGTTTGTACTAATTTTAGTTTTCTTTAATGGGCATGTATAATCCAGTGCTGTTTGAAGAATATTATGAAATTTGTTGTAGGAGGTTTCAAGATTCGGTGAAGAGTAAACATGTTCCCAATTTTGTAGATGGAGGTGAGCCTTTAGATTGTTTAGGTTTGTGTTGTTTAGGCTTCTTTTCATTACAAATCTTTGGGAAGTGTTTGGGAAGTCTTGGTGTGTTTTCAGCAGGCACAGCTGCGCAGTGTGGTCAGATAGACCAGTATGCACAACTTGTCCAGTAATATACGCATATGGTATGTTTGAGCATATACAGTCTATTGAAGTGGCTGTGTCATGGGTTATTCTGGTGGCCTCTAGAGGAAATCTCCAGATGTTTTGTGTGGTTAACTCTTCTTCCAGCATGGTGTTTTTGGAATCTTGGGTGAGCCTGTCGATATTTATGTCACCGATTAGTATGAGGTTTTTCTTGTGTACTTCTTGTAGTTCTAGCGTGTCTGATAGGAGGTCAAGGGCAATTCTTGCATTTTCGATTGGTGGTCTATAGATTCCCAGAATGTAGATATCCTTTTTCTTTGTTGTCTGCATGCGAATCATTGCTGCTTCGAAAATTAACTCCTGGCATGTGTTTGATATGTTAATAGCTGTTACTGTATCAGCAAGGGATTCCTTGGAATATATTGCAACACCTCGCAAGTTTATGTTCTTCTCTACTAAAGTGGGTAATTAAAGAGTAGCCGGGAATTTTTGTAGCTTCTAGCTCTGTTTTTTTCAGTCCGTGTTCAGTCAAGACTAGAATGCTTGGTTTTGTGTCATTGAGAATATGGTGTAGTCTGTTCGTCTTTGTAGCAAGTCCTCTAATATTTTGGTGCATTATTGCTACACAAGAATTATTTGGAGATTTGCAGATTTTTCTTTTGCTTTTTTCAGGCTGTTTGTTTCTAAAAAAGGGGTTATAGTATGGGACACTGTAGAGTGATTGGATTGTTGACTTGAATTGGGTTCCTGCAGCTGCTCATGTTTCTGTTCTCCTTGAGAAGAGAGGCAGTCCATCTCGGTCATGTTTAGTCGCTTGGTGTGTGACAGAATATTCTTTTTATATAGGTCTATATTTTTCCAAAAGAAGTCTTCAATGGTCTCTCCCGGCTTAAGAAGCTTGGCGGTGATCGGGGGTTTCCCTGTGTTCTTTGGTTTAGTTGATTTGTTTGGGGGAGATATAGTGCCCTTGAAAGTAGAGCAAACTCCTTTTGGGATTTTGATGGCCTTGGGTTCTTTAATATTTTGATTTTGTGTTTGTTGTGGTTGACTTTGGTGTTCTGGTGCTTCTTTCCTCAACTTGCTTTTTGCTATTTGCAAGGAAACACTGAAATGGGTTTTCTTAGTAGTTGCCAATTTGTTTTTATTATATGAAACTCGCCTTGGTGTGTTAATTGGCTTGCAAGGAGTCTCCTTTTTCTCAGTTATTAGGTGCTGGGAATCTTCTACTGTTATTTTATCTTCTAATTTCTTCATTTTTGACTCCATATTATTCTGTTTTTCTTTTAGGGCCTTTAGATCAAGTAGAATTAGTGTTTCTGTGTTTGATGCTTCTGGCTTTTTGTTGTCTGAAACTGTGGATTTGTTTGTGAGGTCCTTCGCCTCTGTAGTGGTTGTCTGTGTGCTTGTCTCTCTGAATGATTTTGTAGATTCTTCTCCGGTGTTTATTCTGCTGCATGTATTTTTTTGCCTAAGGCATTTAATTTCATTCTCCATGTTCTTTATTTTTGTGATGAAGCTATTAAAAGTTTCCTCCCTGTCTTTGTCATAATCTTCAAATGTTTTTGTGAGAGTGTTTCTTAGGCTTACTTCCTTTTCCAATTGGTGTTCTAGTTCAGTTATTGTTTCGATTAGGTTGTTGTTTCTAATTAGAATAGTATTTTTCTCGTCTTCTAGTTGTTCAATTTGAGCGTGGTAGTTCATGATGTCGATGGTTTGTATGTTTGTTAGTTTCTGGGCCAGACTCGAGTTTTGTTGAGTCAGGTTGAGTACTTCTTCTCTTAGTTTGCTATTTTGTGCTAGAAGTGCGTTTCCAACTTCTGCTGCAAGTGTTAGAGAAGTTTCTAAATCGGGATCTTCTGAGTTTTCTAGTTCTAGTATTTTGTTTTCTACCTCACCCATTTTGTTACCCTGTCTTTCAGAGGATATTTGATTTGGGGGTGTGGGAGTTTGGTCTTCTTTTAGTTGTAACGCTGGCTTTCCAGAGGTGAGGGAAAGATCACTACAATTGTTACACCTCCATAGGGAAATGTCTTCTTTAGAAAGGTTTTTTAATTGTTTTTCTGTGATATTGACACACCCACTATGAAACCAGCAGTTGCAGGGACCAGTACATTTTATACTGGAATATTTTACACCGATGTTGCATTCACCACACGGATATTTTGAAACTTTTGTTTTGTTCTTCGACATAGTTCAGGTGTAAAATTGTATCAGTTTTGAAAAGTTTGGCTGGTTCTTTATGTCAGGGGTCTTGAAGTTCAAGTGTAAAATTATATCAGTTTTGAAAATTTTGGCTGGTTCTTTATGTCAGGAATCTTGAGGTTCAGGTTAAAAATTATATCAGTTTTTAAAAGTTTGGCTGGTTCTTTATGTCAGGGGTCTTGAAGTTCAGGTGTAAAATTGTATATCATGCAGTATATCATCACTGCCTAGATTATCACCCATATTGAACTAACATAATACAACGAACCAAACTTAGACAGAAAACACAACACGAACAACAGCTCCAGGTAGGCCTAGACTCAGACATACCGACATAAAGGCGCGAAACTGATGGCGGGAACATTACAGATCAGCGAAAAAATTGACCAAGAGCCTTTGCGCGGGAACAGCTGACGCGCTGCCAACCTCTAAACGAAATATACGCCGGTATAAACGTGCAACCGATCGGGCCGGCAGCGATTTTTTTCAATGAATATTCGTTGAAAAATATCGCTGCCAACCCGATCAGTCACAGATTTTCAAACATTTATTTTAACAGTTATAAAGTATATCTTGTTGTATTAGTGTAATATAAACAAAAATAAAGTAGAAATATCGAAATATAAATAACAGTAAAAGTTGTTATTACGCCGAAAATTTTAAAATAGGCCTCTGGCAGCTAACGTATTAGAAAGAAATTTGAAGCTATCTCTAGATTTTTGTTAGGGATGGTCAAGTCTCGAAATTTCGGGAAATTTTCGGGGAATTTTAAATCTCGTTGCACGAGACGAGATTTCTTTTTGGCCGAGATTTTTATCGAGACGAGAATAAAAAAAAAAAAAAAAAAAAAAATTGAAAACGCCTGCAGAAAGTCAATGCAATACCCGCAATACAGGAGCGTGATGTAGTTGCGTTTCCTTTGCGAAGGCGTTCTTATTTAATTAATTCTTTTAATGTAAATACTACTTTAATTATTTTAATAATATTACTTTAATAAAATTTGAGAAGTTTTGTTAAGTGTAAGCAGTGTGAGGAATGTTTTATTACTATAAAAAGTCAAAACAAGTAACTATTTTATAAAAATTAATATTGCTTTTATTTTATGATTTATTTTATTTTAGGATAAGTTGAACTCTATCCTAACTGATATCACTATGTTTCCTAATCGTAGGCATTTTTAATAAGTTAGGCCTGATTAATAAAAAAAATTTTATGCTGATGTTTTTTAATAAAAGATTGTAAATATTCTTGCCTATTACCATTATTTTTGTATTTAAACAGTCATCTAAAAATGTTACAAAATCAGGTAAAAATTTTGAACGTACATTTCCCGTTGTGTATGAGAAGGGAAATCCCGTCTCGATCTCGTCTCGAAATTTTATGAGAAATAAAAAATCTCGTCTCATCTCTTCTCGAACTAAAAATCCAATCTCGTCCATCCCTAATTTTTGTGTAATTAACAATTAAGATAGGAGTTTACATAAAAAACCATGAAAACAGCAAACATCTGGGGAAAAAATGGATGCTATCAATCAAAGTTAAAATATTGAATCTGATTTCTTCTGTCAATGACCTACTACTATACAAAAAAACAGTTATCCCAACATCCCCAATTCCTGATTGTTTCGGGTAATCAACTCTACATAACATATTGAAAAATTTTAAGCATTTCTATTGGTTCCCAGTTCCCATCCAAGGCCTTCTAGTCCCATGATTTTGTAATATCATTGACTAGAGCTGGGCAGTAAGTGAAAAATGTTATCCTGTTATATCTTATAATTAGACAAGTATATGGTATTCTTTTCTTGTATAATGTATACCACAGTATTTATTTCGTTCTATGACATTGTATATGTATATTAACAGCAAGGGTTTGAGGGTGGCAACGTGGCCAGAGAGGGGGGGAGCAGATCCAGAGATCGCTGGGGCGATATCTACGCCAACATGCCAGTTAAGAAGATGATTGCCCTCTACGACTACGATCCTCAGGAGCTCTCGCCCAATGTGGATGCCGAGGTGAGTTGCGTTCTATGATAATTAAAAAGTTAGCGAAACATTATTTTCAAAACTACAATACAGTAGACTCCCTCTTATCAGGACACTTTTAACCGGACAATTTGTATCAGCAAGTTGGTTTAACTGGACTAGATCGGCAGGAAGGGGGCAGTACTGAAACTACTGTTCTCGTGGAAAATATTTGAGACCAGTGATCACGTGTGTAAATACAATGATCTCCTAAATTTAAGTTGAATATCTCAGTAAACAGTCTGTTTTAACGAGTTTTTGGGGACGTCCGTTTAACCGGAAAACCCGTTATCCAGACTGGCCTCAGTCCTGAGGAGTCCGGATAAGAGGGAGTCGACTGTAGTGCCAAATTTCACTTTTAACTGTGCAGAGGGTGTCAACTTGATCCTACAAACAACCTCCCACTGGAGGTTGTAACTATTACGATTTCCAGGTGTGTACTGGAATCAACAGTTTAAAGTTTTGGGAGCCTGGATTTTAATACAGCTTCTTTGTCTTTTTTCATATAATAAGCTGCTTGGTTTTGCTTTGGTTGAACACTAGTTCGTTACCAAAACAGCATTCGATGGCAAGGTTGAGGAAGATAAATAATATTTTTTTTACTAGTTCAAGCTCTTCAATATTTTTGTTGGATGATATTGAGACAGTGTCATCTGCATACATAATTGCCTTGCTGAAAATTTCTGTGTGCCCAGGAAGGTTGAACGTAAACAGTAATGATGACGGGTCCCAGGACCGAGCCTTGAGTTACACCTCTACATAGGGTGATCTGACATGGTTACAAGTTCCATTGATTTTCTATCTTACTTCAAGGGGTTGTTCCCGTTCCCGACCCGTCATATAACTCGCAAACCACACTAAAGCCAAGTTTCAAAATCCAAGGGATTCTAGTTTGCTGCTGTGTTACAAACAATGCAGGTTCCTAGTTCTATTGAGTCAAGTGAAATCACTTGCTCCCACATTTGTTTTGCCGGGGGAATGCAATGTTCCCCATGGTGTCCGAAAGTTTACACTCTTTCCCTATAAAAATAGATTCAGTAAAATGGGTGGACATCACCAATTCAAGGACAATCACAACACTGAACTTATTATCCCCCTCCACCACTTGTTAGGAACAAGATTAATAATTCAGAGAGCTCGCTAATGTGGCATCATTTACATCATTAGTGAGATACTATTGTAAGCGGGGCTAAATGTCATGCTGCTATCCTAGATTTTTAGCTAGAGACACACACTAGTTTATTTAACTGTTTGGTCAAGCAAAGTAAGATTTTTGCAGAAAAGAAATTATCAACAGATTTTTAGCTTCAATATGTTGTTGATTATACTTAAATAGAAATTCTTTTATTGATTACATCAACATTTTTATTTTCTCCATACTAAAATGGCATCCAACCATGAGATGCAATCCAAGTGTCAGAGGAGGGTCTAGTGTTGTGTTCATTATACTGCAGGTGGAGTTGTCTTTCCAAACCGGGAACATCATCTACGTCTACGGGGAAATGGATGATGATGGTTTCTATATGGGAGAGTTGGACGGAGTGCGAGGGCTGGTCCCTTCTAACTTCCTGACAGAGGCGCCACCAGACTTTACCAATGGAGCAGGGCCAGGCCGAGGTCCAGCCGGTGGCTCCAGAGGAGGGGGCAGCAGGCCTGCACCCTCCGACAGGGGTCACGGCCCTGGAGCTAGGGGCCCTCCACCTCCGCCAAGAGAAGGCTTACCTCCTAGAATAGATCCACGGGATCGAAGGAAAGGTATGTATATGTTATACAAAAGCTCTCCTATCACGTTGAAGGCAAGAACACTGTTACCCTTATGTTATAATTGTACTAAATGTTTTTTTTTTATGTTTGCCTGGCTCACATTTAGTAGGAATGTAAATGTTTGTGTAACTCTTGGAGAAAATGTGAGCAGGGTGGTGTTGAAAATAACGAATGTTTCCCATTGTCTGTTTCATAAACAAAGAATAAGTTTTTTCTTCAAAGTTACAGTTACTGAGTATAGTAAAATTTACTATTTGAATGTTGCTTTCGATCAGAGTACAAAAGTACACACATTTCTTCACATACCGTGTCCTTACTCACTTTATTTACTGTATCTTTATTCATAAAATTAAGTACAGATGTTTATGAACAATATATTGAAGATTAATGAAGGCCCCCTCTATCCTACAAGTAAGCAGAAAGATTCATTAACATCATGTAGCAACCATCCCGGAGAAATTGTATGATTATTTCTGTTTTGAAAGATCATTTGAGGGATTTCCTTCATACCCTAGTACTTACATTTGTAAACTATGACCTTTAAATGTTAATCATTTGACCTACTCATAATATAAACTTGCATGAGCTAATTATTGTAACAATGTGTAATGGACAATAATTGTTCTTAAAAAGCATGCAACAACTGGTGATCTATATTTAAATTCTGGTAGTTTTTTTTAATTGGTAATTTAAAATAAATACGTATGAGAGATGTATACTATTACTCCATAAGTTTTGACTGAATTTCCCTTATGGAGAAGAAGACATTACAGTTTTTGGTAATGTTTAACATAGTAGACATGAGTTAAAAACCATTTCATTTTGCGGCTTCCTAAAGGCATGCATATGCATATATTATATTTTTTAATTGTTGTTTTACATGTTTGTAAGCTTTGAATATGCAATATTTTTTTTAATTAGGACGAATATATTGAAATGTTTGGCTATAAGTTTGTAAACCATAAAATTTTGCCACCTTTTTCACTTATAATCTGGGAACTTTTTATCTACAAGGTTTGCTCGTAAATAAAGGTCTCCATCGAGCCCCCAACGCAGCCAAGCAAGTTAGATCAAACCTCAGACCAACGTCGTGTTCCTCACACCATCCACTACTATTCTAGGCAGTCCCCACCCATGTGGTATGATTAGCCTTGTCGCTGTCATATAGCCCAGTCAAAAAAAATAGTCAGGGATTGGTCACCTTCTTACAGACACCTAATCACAGAACGCAATTTATACTAGGCAAGAGTGGGACTTTTATTTCACAGAATTTGTAGATATTATGACTAGAGTGAGGAACATAACCTTTGTCTTTAAGATTTTTACCTAGCTTGCTTGGCTGCAATGGGGTTTTGATGGAGACCTCACTTTAGGTCAACTCTCGTACATTTGGATATTATTTGTTGAATATTAGTCAATAATTTTTTTGTCAATAATGTGCTTTTAGGTTTGAATAATTTTTAATCTAAAACACATACCTTATTAGCTAAATCTTCTTTAATTAGTGGTTTGTATTTCAAGATATTAATTAATATCAGTAAATTATCATATCAAAACTACTATTACGGTATACAAAATCAAAACCATACTTTTTTAACACAATCTCACAGTTAGTAGTGGATGAATTGTATCAAAATATGAAACAAAGTTTGTGTACTGAATTCTAAGAACTCTATACAAAATTTAGTTCACATCAAAACAGACTGTTGGGTAGGGAAGTTTGACTCAAATTTGTCATATGTGCTATTTTGGTAAATCATGAACAAGAACACTACTATATATCTGTAGAGTAAGTTTTTAATGAATCATCCAATAAATTGTCTCTATATTTCTTAAGATATTAACTCTAAACTAATCAGCTCATTGTTACTCGAGACCCATTGATATTGGCCACTTTTTGCCTTTCCACTAATCGTGGACACTAATCGTCACTAACGGGTTCCCCGTTATCTGGAATACTATCTGATATTTATCTAAATCACATTGAAAACAACTTCATTTTCTCCGAATCTAATAAATACAGAAACAGGATCACCCTTTACAACCGTTATGTTGACGACACCATTATGTTGTTTAATGGTAATACTCGACAACTAAACTTATTATTGAACTACCTAAACAACATCGCGCCCAAACTACAGTTCACAATAGAAACAGAAGTCAATAATAAGATCAATTTTCTAGATATGACTATTGAGAAGGATAATAGTAAACTAAACTTCAGTATTTATAGAAAACCCACGACTTCAAGCCAAACAATACACGCCACTTCATACCATCCTATTTCTCAAAAACTTGCCGCCTACAATAGCCTAGTTTACAGGCTACTCAAAATTTCCGCTTTCACCTGACAACTACAACAAAGAACTGAACATAATTAAACATATTGCTACCTCCAATGGATACAAACCAAGCATCATAGATAAAATAGTAACGAAATTAAAGAACAAACCAAATGAACCCGTATCAGATGAACCCGAGGAAAAATACATTTGTATAGAATACAGCCACATAGCTCACAATGGGCTCAACAAAGTTTTAAAGAATCATGGGCTTCAATTAAACTTCAGGACCACAAATAAGACAATAAAATCTCTGTCAAATAAAGTTACCGATGAAAATAAGCTTGAAAAATCTGGGGTCTACAAACTAAAATGCATGGATTGTCCTGATTTTTATATTGGACAAACTGGCAGGACCTTCACCCAACGGCACAAAGAACATCGCCCCGACCCCAGAGCAGACAAACAAAAATCCACTTTTGCCCAACATTTATTGGATAATAATCACACCGTAGATGTAATTGACAATAGCCTGGAAATCCTTCACATTTGTAACAAAGGTAACAAATTAGACTCTCTAGAACAATTCGAAATCTATAAAAGTTTCCAAGACATCCGTAATAAAAACCATATTTTAAATGACCAGCTAAACTTCAAATAAATCTCATTCAATTTTTAACGCCATAATAGCTCACAACAATAGACAGGAACAGTTTGACCTTTGCAGTATGACTGATAACGGAGAAGGGGTCGGGGTTACGTAATTCCAGCCAGTCTGCCTCCGTACTGCGACCGGTAAATAGTAGGCCTACTAAGTGTTAAATGTTTCGTACAATGTATCGTGTTTTATGTATTTATTTAAATGTTTTTTGACGAGTCTACAATGGACGAAACGTTCTTGAAGGACCACATCTGACAATGCCTATGTATAGGCGAAACATGTAGTGGGTTTGACCATTCATTTATGAACTGTGGACGTGAAGGTATGTACCTTAAATTATAGTCTTTCCACTAAGAATAAGAATAAGAAATATTTATTTCCATTGATCTTTATAAAAGAAATAGGACACGTCATTGTTATACGTAGTTACAAGGTGATTCAGTGTTTACAGTACAAAATATCTAAATTTAAATAGCCACTTACATGAAAATAAAAGCTTTATTTCAACTTACTCTTCAAAATGTAATATTTATTTCACAACTTAAAAAATCATCAATTTTGTAAAAGGGATTTTTAACAATCCAGTCATGCAGTTTATTTTTAAAAATACTGTAAGAAACTAATTTTGCTTCTTCAGGCAGCTTATTAAAAAACATTATACAATTTAATTTATGTGAATGTTTGGTTTTTGCCAATCTGTGCTGCAATATACTCGTATCTATTTTATCCCTACCTCTTGTATAGTGATTGTGTACGTCTTTTCGGAAAGAGAATTGATCTAAGTTTGACTTTGTATATATTAGAATTTGGAATATATAAAGATTTACCATGGTTGGTATCCTGAAATTAATGAAAAGAGGTTTACAATGTGTATCTGAGCATTCTCCAGCAATGCTTCGAACCGCCTTTTTCTGGAGTAAAAGGATGTCATTAACATGTGGAGAGTGGCCCCACAAAATAAGACCATATAGTATGTGTGATTGAAAGAGTCCAAAATACGCCAATCTTAAATATTCTTGACTAACAAAATCCTTAAGTTTCCACAGCAAGCACCTCACTCTTGAAATTTTGTTACAAACAAATTTTATGTGTGATGACCAATTTAATTTTGAATCCAAATTAAATCCTAAAAGTTTAACTGATTAAAATTTTACCTCTGTTTTAAGACTGATTGTTATATATTGTGATTTAACTGAATTACAAGATAGTCTGTTTGCAGAAAACCAATCATATGCTCTATGTTCAGCCTCTTGACTAATTAAGCGCAGGGTTGTTAAATTAGAATGGTTAGCGAGTAAAGTTGTATCATATAACAGATTGTGTATTTATATTTATAGGAAGATCATTAATGTAGACGTTAAAGAAAAATGGCCCTAGTACAGAGCCCTGAGGAACACCGGTTTCAACTTTTTCAGTTTTAGAACATTTATTTTTAATTGATACCAATTGAAGTCTATTACATAAATACGAAGAAATTAGAAGCATGGCATCATTAGTGATGCCATAAAAACGTAGTTTGTTAGTTAGGATATCAAAAGGAACCGTGTCAAAAGCTTTACTTAAATCACATAAAACTAATGACACAGATTCTTTCTTTTCTAAAGTTTCAAGAGAATGGTCAACTAAAGTGAGAATTGCTGAGGTTGTGGATTTACCTCGACGAAAGCCGAATTGGGAGTTTGACAATAGGTTATTTGTTTCAAAGTAATTATTTAATTGATTATACATTACTGCTTCAAATATTTTGGAAAAAATAGGAACGAATGAAATAGGCCGATAATTTTGAACCAGGTTTTATAACTTTTTTTTAATATTGGGATTACTTTCGATATTTTGAGGGATGGAGAAAAATATCCCTCCCTCATACAGGAAAATTTGCTTTTTTAATATAAAAGCAAGAGGGTAGCTAATAAAACCTATAGTCTTTTTCAAAATATTATTAGAAATCCAATAATAATCCATTGATTTAGAATTTGTTATTTAGCAACAAATTATATCTACAAACTATATCTTTTAAGGAAAATATAAAGATACAATGGTGTTGTAAT